GTGGAAGGCACTCTCAACCGATCTGGGTATGAATCCATCCTTGCAGATCTCGTAAACCTATACGTGCTGATTGTCTTCCCTGGGGCGGATGGGCTTGCAAGACAATGCGACACGTCACACAGCTAGAAATGTCCGACCAAAAGCATGACCAAGACTTCCAAGTACTACCCTGGCCCCCTAATTCCCCAGACTTGAACCCAATTGAGCATCTGTGGGACCACCTTGATCGTCGTGTTCGCTCTATGGATCTTCCCCCAAGCACCCTCCAGCAGCTGTGGGATGCACTGCAGTCAGCATGGCTCCAGATACCTGTGACAATGTGTACGTCAATGGAACCAGACTTTTTTACCCCCAATTCATTTTGGGCCGTTTCTTTTAGACCATTCATTATGAAATTTACACACAATGTAAAGGATAACAGGTATTTTCAAATTATGTCAAAAACCAAAAATCGTCAAAAATGGAGATACAAGGTTTTGTTCCAACATCAGTAATTATACATACATATATATATATATATATATATATATATATATATATATATATATATATATATATATATACACACACACAGGGTGTCCCAAAAAAAGTGACATCATTTCGTAGTCTAATAACAGCCAATTCTCCCTCAAATGATCTCAAATTTTAGTTCTCAAAGTTTAATTTTAAATGTTTGTTTTTCAGGTTGAAGAATGGCGCTCACTAGAACTGAAAAGGCATTTTGTGTGTTAAATATGCTCAAACACAGTCAAACAGGAGTGTGCAGCGAGCATTTTCGAGAAAATTCAATAAAAATGCACCAACTGGAAAGCAGATTCGGACATGCCACAAAAAATTAAAAGAGGAAGGCTGTCTGTGCAGGACAAAGGGATCTGGACGACCACCAGTATCGGAAGATATTACATTTGTGAAGCTGTGAAATCAGTTATAAAATCCACATCACTTGGAATTTCTTGTTCAAATTTTGATAAATAAATCTTGTATTGTTCAACATGAAGCCTATTTCATTTCGTTTGCCAGGACATGCAGTTACTCAGATATTCACATCTCAAATGATGCCCATTTTTTTCGGACACCCTGTATATAAATAAATCAGAACAGCCGATTTAATTCTAAGGGATAAAAACAAGTTGCTGAGGGGTTTAAAAAAAGAATTATGGCTGTTTTTAATACATAAAAAAGATAAAACAAAAGACACAAGGATAAGGATTTAAGTGAAGTGCTTAAACCTTGGTTGTTCGAAAAAAAAAGGCATCTGTATCAACCGAGACTCTAGATTTCAATATCGGTATCGGCATCAGATAAGTAGAAGTGGTATCGCGTCACCTCTATAATGAACTGCATTCTACCGAAGCAGCACAGAGAGATTAAGCTGAGTATTTCTTTAAGGATTTGAGACCAAGACTGAACAAAAGAGCCCTAATCTGCTCCTCATGCATGCCTGAACTGATAAACACATCTTCTGAATGACTCGCACATTCAGAGGAGATCGAAAAGAACAATATGATCTCATAGCAGATACAGTGAGATCTGTTTACTGTGACAGTGTCAGTAAAAGTGCTACCGTTTGTCAGTCAGTTTGCTTTTTCCTGCATCGCTTGTAACTTCCTTGTTAGCTTCTAGCTCAGTCTATTGTGCTGAACCGGCCGTCACCTTTCACCCAGTTCCCTTCCCACTTCCCCCGCCCCTCCGAGGAGTGAAGCACAGAGCTTTACAGAGCAACAGCAACAACAGTGATGAAACTTGATTACAACAGCAATCATTTAAGTAGGTGTAGCTACTAGAATTACTGCACCTGTTGCTGTAAGCCTGTGCAAAGGTAAGCAGTGTTTACAAAGAACATGCGAGTTAAATATAAGGACAGAGGATAAAAGTGCCAAATGAGGGTATTAGCCTGTCCATCTGCCCACTTATCCTGATTTCCTTTCATTCATATACATAATACCATAATACACATACATAAAGTGTGAATATTACAATACAAATACATAGAGCCATTCTGGACCATTTCTATTGGTCTATTCATCATAAATGTTCACTATGTGAAAGATGTGGTGTTTTCAAAAGGCAGCGATGATAAAATCCCACCTAGCACTATGAAGAATGCATACCATTAAAGGGCCCATATCAGGGGAAACTTCATTTTTTCACATTTTTTGCTAAGTCAGAGCTTTATGTAGTATGCAAACACTTAAAGTACTGCTCACTACTTTCTGATATCATAAAAAGCAACACATTCTATATATATATATATATTTGGACTGCTTTTGAATGAGGCACAGCCAATCAGAACAGAGCTCATTTACATAAGTGAGTCTCAAAAACAGTCTGTTTTCTTCTAAAGGATAAAGAGAGGTTGGAAAATGGTTGTGTACAAATGAGTAATGACTTTATTTGGTATTTAAACCAGCACAAAATGTCATAAGTAGATTATTAATATATATAAGATGGGCACTTTAACTCAGAATGTGCACAAAAATCAACATCTGTAACACTTTTAACTGCCCATTTTAATAGTACCACAGGGACAGGGTGTAACTGGCCAAGATTAAAGGGCTCATATCATGAAGAAACTAATTTTCCTTGTTTTTTTGTTGTTTTTTGAGCTGATAAGTTTATGATTTAGAGTTTACAATTATACCATTTACTCAAATTTCTATATATGAAAAATAATCCAAAAAAAAAAAACAGCCTGTTGTGAATTTGATGTTTTTGTGACGTCACAAAAAACAGAACACTTTTACATATGGATACAGCTGGTGTAAATAGACCCATTCAGACTACAGCAGTTTAGCTCCGCTCATTCACACTGAGGTTATAAGGATTGTTTGGATTGGATTGCTTTTTGAATGAGGCTCAGAGCAGCCAATCAGAACAGAGCTCATTTACATGCAACACTCTTAAAGACACAGTCACAAAAAAAACAGCCTGTTTAACTCTTAGTGACAAAGAGGTCATGCAAAAATGAATTATTATATAAAAACACATAAACATGAACCTGGACCTCATGAAAAAAATTAAAATATAAGAAAAATGTAGGATATGGGCTCTTTAAAGCCCACTTGCACCAGTCAAACAGCTCACACAGCCACACTGCTGGCACAACATGATAAAAAAGAGTTAGACAATAGAACATTTTATTCTTGGGAAATATTATGGCAGATTTTTAGTACATAATTAGGTCCAACGTGTCTTTATTTGAGAAATGAGCGTAAACAAGGTCATAGTACGGATGTTAATTGGATGCTCCATGTCACAGTAACGGTGCACAGTGTCATTATCCACTCCAAGGGTCCAAAGGTCCAGCGAATGAGGTTCGGGCAGAATAAAGCACAGGCATTAGCTCGCACCCTTTAAAGTGACAACATCCTGCACGCTGCCATCCGATCAATGCGCTTATCAGCCTGATAACACTGGCAGTCCGTTTGGCAATTCAAGTTCAGGTCAACTTCAGAAAGTGTATCCTACATGCTTTTTAGCTGCTCAGCAGGATTTCTATTAGTTATAGTTAGAGAGAGCATTAAAGGGCCCATATCCTACATTTTTCCCGTATTTTATTTTTTCCACCTGTGATGTTTGTGTGGGTCAATAATTCATTTTTACATTAGCATCTCTCTTCCCCCCTATCAACAAGCCATTTTTGTTACTGCACCTTTAATACTGATATGTAAATGAGCTGTGTTCTGACTGGCTGCCCTCATTTAAACAGCAGTCCGAGCTGAAACACTGAGTATAACCTCAGCGGGAATGAGCGAGGCTCAGGATGCTCTACATCCACATCTTATTACAAATAAGCAAGGAATAAACAGTTTTATGATATGAGCCCTTTAAAAAAGCTGAATAAACTGAAGCTGGCAATGCAGTTTGTACTTAACCTGTACAGCCATTCAAGCCATGCATTCTGTATGAACCACATGTTTTCCTGAACATCACTTCAGTGTGAAAAGTTACATCCAGTGAAGTTGGAAATGAATAAAGTCTTCACAATAATTAACAGTGAGCGCAAAATTACAGTAATATTGTGAAATAACACTTGAACACTTGACTATGACGTTCTCTCAAAGGCCCCCAAGATGAATCATTTCTATCAAAGATTAGACAGACCTGCCCCATGTGCAGCAATACTTAACACGCCTCTGCCTGGTCAAGTCATTTTACTGTAAAACATTATTTAGCAATGCTTTAAAGAGCAACCTACCCAAGTTGAGTCAAGTTAAAGGGCCCATATGATGCAAAACTGAAGATCCTTTAATTTTTTGACAAAAAAGGACTTTAATGTAATGTAGTTTTATGTAAACACTGTTAAAGTTTCAAACAGACCATACATGGAAACTAAAACAGCCTGTTTTGACTTCCTTGTTTTTGTGATGTCATTTATGTACATCCTCCTTATCAGGCTACAGCAGTTGGGTCCTGCCCTTCCACCCTGATGTTATAAGGAATGTTTCAGACTGGACTGAGGCCAATCAGCTGGGGGGGTAATGAACAGTGTTGTCCGGCTGGCCAAGATTAAAGGGCCCATATCATGGAAAACCACACTTTCTCCTTTTTTTTTTAGAAATTACAGGCTTTGATGTTGCACGTAAACACTGTAAAAGCTTTCCAAAATGTATCATTCATTCCCCAAGCCAATACATGGAACCTAGGCCTGTCTGGATTTGTGATGTCACAAAGATCAGCACATTTCCATGTTTCTGCCTACTCTACTTACAGCTGTTTAGCCCAGTCCATTCACACTGAAGACATGGTGCTGACTGTATTAAGTAATGAATACAAGGCAGCCAATCAGTCTTACAGGCACAGTAACCAATACAAGTTGAGTTCTAAAGAATAAAGAGGGGTCATAAAAAGGAGAAGAATGTGGGATATAATCGGTCACCCGTCTGTGTCGAGTTAAACCTGAATAACATCCTCAAACCTTATTAAGTCAACAGGGAAATTAGATGAAAATGCATGATAACGGTAGAACTGCTGTCCTGCTGTGAGCGCGCAACACCCACCTGTGCAGGTCTAACTCCAGGTAAGGGAAGATGAGCTTCTCTTTAATAAGCTCCCAGATGACTCTGGTCATCTCGTCTCCCTGCATCTCCACAACAGATCCAGCCTTGATCTTCTGGGACATTTTGGAAACCTGGAGGATTTTCAGCGGTCAAACACAGAAGCACATGCGAGTCAGTGTCGGTTGTAAAATGAATGAAATGCTCTCAGGGAGAGGCTGCAGGACCTGTGAGTCAGCATTGTTTGCCACTTAGCTGAAGGCGTACTTGAGGAAAGCTGAGGTGGTACAACAGGTTAGTGTGGTGAGACTCACAGAGGCTGCTAAACTACTACAGCAGTGAGACTGTATAATTAAATGGCTAAGATGTATATAAAGTCATTCAGAGTGGTTTGGTGTGAAACGCTCCGTTCTAGAGAAACTGACAGAGTAACAGTTGTTCACAGTGGTGGTGATAGGAACCAGACGTCCACCTCTAAAAGCTCCCTCACAGAAAGTTATTACATTCAACAGCACATTACCTGATGTCTGAGACGTTGCTTTATGATAGTTTTGCAATAATGGTTTGGCCTAAAACATATATATATTTTTTAAATCGACGCATTCTGAAGTAAAATAGCCTCCAATGCAAATGTATCTTGCTTTTAAATTTAGCACCATTCTACAATTATCACTGTCAAACTCACGTTTAGCTTCACTGGTCATTTTGGATGCTAAATAAACCGGCTATACTTGTGTTCTAGACATTGTGACCCCTGGTTCCTATCACCACCACTGTAAAGAAATCAGAGTCTTTAAGTTTATCTACAATGATCAATTTCACATCAAACCACTCTGAATGACTTTGTTTATACTTAAAAGACTAAATTATGCAGAAATGTTTAGTTTTGCTCCCCTTTAAAGGAGAATTCCATCATTTTTTTCAAATTTTGTCATAATTTACTGCTTGAGAAGTAAGCAAAGTCATTCAGAGCGGTTTGGTGTGAAATACTCCGTTCTGGAGTTCACAGTGGTGGTGATAGGAACCAGACGTCCACCTCTAAAAGCTCCCTCACAGTGAGCTATTAAACAAAACTGATACAAATATGCTGCCTGACGCCATTATTTTATGACAGTTTTGTTATCATTTTTCAGTCTAAAATGTATTTGTTAATACATAGAACACAGAGAGGTGCATGCGATGCATGGCTTTGGATTTAACACTATATTACTATTATCAACATTACATTTAAAACTCATGTAGGTTTAGTGGTTGTTTTGAACATATTTACATCGTAAACATCGCGACCCCTGGTTCCTATCGCCACCACTGTAAAGATATGTGAGTCGGTAAGTTTCTCTGTAATGCACCATTTCACACCAAAACAGCCAGCATGGCTTTGTTTGCATCTCAAAGAGTAACTTGTGTATAAAATTTGAGAAATCGGTGGAGTTCCCCTTTAACACCCATATAGAGACATAAAGCCACCTCTGTACATACTGAATGGTAGCTACTACAGATCTCACCAACCACGAGATCATTGAGAAGATTGGGGAGGAGATAAAAGTTACACAACCGGCCAAAATCAGCCGTTTCAATGAGCCGGTATGTGGGATAAAGGTCGCATCTACAACTACCGATATCTTATCGTGCACACGAATTACGATAAGGTGATCCAGCTAATGTCACTGTCAATGACGGTCAATGTAACGGCAGTAGACAATTACTTATTCACTTATTCACCAGCTTCTTGTTCGATCTTTCCGTTCCACCTTAAATGGCGCAGCAGCTCCATTCAATCTTCGTGAAAGAGCACAGTAATTCCTGCAGCATTTAAGGTGGAACGGAAAATTGTAAATACGAGCTGGCAAATATATAATTGATTTCTGTGTGAAAGTGATAACAGCACCAAACCGCTTCTGGTCAGCATTTCATTGCGTTTATTTTCCCCTTCAACACCGATTTTCACGACTGAAATTAGTGAAAACAGACATTTCCATTTATCCGGTTAGCTGACCGGTAGCTTGTCAGGCTAACTTAGAGCTACAGCTTATCGTTCTCACATTAAAATTCATTTTTAATAACAATAACTCCTTTTCTTACACGGCCTACCTGTTACTGTATCTCTCAAAGTCCAGTCGTAGGTCAAACCCTCCTCAGTCTGGCCGCTACAGTACCGTCAACACAGCCCACTTCGGCTCAGGATCTGATACCACTGGGCCTGGGGGCAGGGTCAGGGGCGGGACCTGCTCTCTGCCAAGCACATGATTGGACGGGGCGGTCCGACTGATGACTCTTCAACCAATCAGAGACAATACGGAAAACTAAGGGGGCCAATGAAGAGCACACACACACAGCAGCCGAGTACAAAACGCGCATGCGCAGATAGATCACACAGTACTACTTTGAAATAAGCCTTTGGGCATTTAAATAATTATGTAAGAGATATTAATATTCTTACACATACAAGGTTATATATCAAACAACAGCCAAGTAGCCGTTTATATTAGGTGTGTAAGAAATCGCTTGGGGCCCCCGAGTCACAAGGGGCCATATGTAGGATTTTTTTCCCGTTTTAAAACATCGTTTGTGATATTGACAAAAAAAATCTAGTAGAGACATAATTAATAACTTCACAAAATGTACTAATTAATTAATTAGATTTATCAATACTTAAATGGCCAATTTCTTTGTTTAAAAATGTGTTCATTCATTATTTTTAGATGCATTATGTTTAATTAATATGACGAATTATTATTCTACTGTGTTCACCTTAGCATTTATTAATTTATTAACAAATTAATGCAATTTTAATTATTTTTTCAGTCTGAATTCAGCCCCATTGACATACTGAAGGAAGCTACACGAACCTAAACAGGTGAAAGTGGTGCATCAATCCCTCTGTAAAGAGAAGCGACAGAAAATCTGATTCGAGGAAACGGCTGGTTTGGCTATCGACCTCCTGCTACACCTCTAATCTTACCAATCAGAGCGCATCAGACCCGTGAAGCCTTCAGCCGCAGCAGCTGGTGTAATTCCACTCCTGGACGACAGATGTAGCTGTTTCACAACACTTACGATCATTTAAACGCAATCAATCAAACCGGAAAAACAACAGAATGTGCACAGCTAAAAACTCACTTGCTATTTTTAGCGAATCCTGAATGAATGAGGCTGTAAATCGGGTTGAACTTGTACCAAGTGGTCCAGAATGATCTCGTAACAACGACCATTTGCATTGATTACGCAATCAAACGAGCGCTATTACCACAGTTTCTCTTTTAGGCTGACACGCTGTTCATCAGCGCTGTGTTCCACAGTGAAGGTGTACTGGATATGAATATAGGATATGATAAACTAACAGTAAAATGGAAAAAAAGTTTGTAAATTTGATTGGCTCACTGTATCTGCACAATTCCACACACCACTGATTCTCAATAGCAATTTTGTACTTCAGTTTTTCCTCACAGCCAATTCCATCTGCCAGGGTTTCCCGATTGCAACACCCTTTTTTCCCTACTACCAATTCCATACACTTCTCGGAGCCCTGGTGATGACATCCTGTATAAATAAAAATATTATTAACGCGTGGGAACGAGATCCTAATGCGTGGCCATGACTTTGTAAGGCGTGGGAACAAGATCACGGCCTACTAAGTTGTGGCCACACATTAGGATCTCGTTCCCACGCTTTAGTAAGTCGTGGCCACGACTTAATCATCTCAATCCCACTTTTCTAAGTCAAGGCCACTCATTATTTTTATTTATGCAGGAGGTCACCAGCGGGGCTCCGTACACTTCCTAAGGCCGTATGATCCTGTTTCCCAATTCCATATACCCGTGTTCCCACTCCAACACTAGTGCTTCCAAATCCCAAATCCTTACATAAGCGTTCCTCAATTCGAGCATCAAGCGTTACCAAATCCCAGTTCCATTCAACTCCCAATTTCATGTGCCCGTGTTCCCAAATCTCGGTTCCACTTAATTCCCAATTTCATATGCCCATGTTTCCAAATCCTGGTTTCATTCAATTCCCAGTTCCATATGCCAGTGTTTCCAATATAAATTCCATACATTTCCCAATCCCTACTTCATTCAGCAAGGCTTGTTAATAAGATGATGAGTTGAGTTAGGCCTGTTAGAACAGATAAAACCCTATGATGTGCTGGACAGGGGCACAACAATGCAATTCCTCAATTCCTATAAACCCACTGCTGAGAGCTGCGTGATTTAATGTATTAATCTTTTAACTGTTTCCTTATTGTAGATGACCAAGGTTGGGAAATCCTGTCATAAATGGATGTGACACAGTGGTCACAATGCATGCTCCTGAAGAGCGACCACTGTACAGAGCTTATCTCTGCTTGATTCATTTACTGATCATCTTCAGAAATCTTGAGCAGGATGTGTAATATGGGGGTTGGAGGTGAAGCCCTGATGGACAGGAATCTAAATATCTAGATTTCTCTAATTGTTAGTGAGCATTTTTTAAAAACAGTTTATTAACACCTGGTAATTAGCAGAGCTCTGATATTTTCTATTTGCTCTTATTCATTCATAATCACTAACTAGGCCAGATGACTGATGAACTAATTGAATATATTAATGAGACAATACTGAGCCAATGATAGAGTTGAACTGATGAGCTTGCCAAAAATCGGTCTACTCAGGCTTTAGCAGAGCTCAGTAACACTGAGATTAATAACTGATCATCTCATTGACTTATCAGTCTACTTAGGCTTTAGCAGAGCTCAGTAACACTGAGATTAATAACTGATCATCACATTGGTTTATCAGTCTACTCAGGCTTTAGCAGAGCTCAGTAACGCTGAGATTAATAACTGATCATCACATTGGTTTATCAGTCTACTCAGGCTTTAGCAGAGCTCAGTAACACTGAGATTAATAACTGATCACATTGATTTATCAGTCTACTCAGGCTTTAGCAGAGCTCAGTAACATTGAGATTAATAACTGATCACATTGATTTATCAGTCTACTCAGGCTTTAGCAGAGCTCAGTAACACTGAGATTAATAACTGATCACATTGATTTATCAGTCTACTCAGGCTTTAGCAGAGCTCAGTAACATTGAGATTAATAACTGATCACATTGATTTATCAGTCTACTCAGGCTTTAGCAGAGCTCAGTAACACTGAGATTAATAACTGATCATCTCATTGATTTATCAGTCTACTCAGGCTTTAGCAGAGCTCAGTAACACTGAGATTAATAACTGATCATCACATCGGTTTATCAGTCTACTCAGGCTTTAGCAGAGCTCAGTAACACTCAGATTAATAACTGATCATCACATCGGTTTATCAGTCTACTCAGGCTTTAGCAGAGCTCAGTAACACTGAGATTAATAACTGATCATCACATTGGTTTATCAGTCTACTCAGGCTTTAGCAGAGCTCAGTAACGCTGAGATTAATAACTGATCACATTGATTTATCAGTCTACTCAGGCTTTAGCAGAGCTCAGTAACACTGAGATTAATAACTGATCACATTGATTTATCAGTCTACTCAGGCTTTAGCAGAGCTCAGTAACACTGAGATTAATAACTGATCACATTGATTTATCAGTCTACTCAGGCTTTAGCAGAGCTCAGTAACATTGAGATTAATAACTGATCACATTGATTTATCAGTCTACTCAGGCTTTAGCAGAGCTCAGTAACACTGAGATTAATAACTGATCACATTGATTTATCAGTCTACTCAGGCTTTAGCAGAGCTCAGTAACACTGAGATTAATAACTGATCACATTGATTTATCAGTCTACTCAGGCTTTAGCAGAGCTCAGTAACGCTGAGATTAATAACTGATCACATTGATTTATCAGTCTACTCAGGCTTTAGCAGAGCTCCGTAACACTGAGATTAATAACTGATCACATTGATTTATCAGTCTACTCAGGCTTTAGCAGAGCTCAGTAACACTGAGATTAATAACTGATCACATTGATTTATCAGTCTACTCAGGCTTTAGCAGAGCTCAGTAACGCTGAGATTAATAACTGATCATCTCATTGATTTATCAGTCTACTCAGGCTCTAGTAGGAACTTCAGTGTTTGTAAAGAAGCTGTTAACCGAGGTCCTCTTTAGAATTCATCTAACGATCATGTTTGCTACATGCTGTGCACTGATTAACAAGCATTGATGGTGTTTCTTTTGAGGATTGTGGTTTGTTTATGTGGTTGGTAAGTATTCCAAATGTGTTCTCCTAAAAATATAAGCTGTATTCTGAAAACTGTCTTATCAAAATTACTGTAACTTACTTAATACTGATACTTAATTTCTGTATTCTGAATACGTCTTCCTAATACTTGTACTCCATTACACCCCAACCAATGAACTAACTGAAGACTCAACCAATGGTCAGCTAACCAGTAAGCTTACAATTTAACCAATAAGCGAACAGATGCACTGACCATGCTTTCCCTAATCAGTTAACCGTTAACCAAATTAGCCCACCACTCCTATGAGCTAATTGATCAGCTAACCAATGACCAATGAACTAATAGCCGATCATAGCGCAGGAGGCGGGGCTTGTCGGAAAACGGGTGGGAAAAACCCAGCTCGCCCTGCCACCGAGCACACAAAGCGCGCGGAGCCTCCTCCAGGTCCCCCGGTGCTCCCGCCACGTGACCCAACATCTGCTGTCGGTAGCAACTCGAGAGAAACCAAGCAACGCCGGGGATAAGGACAGTGTCCGGAGTTCACGCGCGCACGCACTCACGGCAACTCCACTCGCGCAGTCGCCTCGCCTCTCGCAACGAGCAGCGCGCGCTCACCGCTTTATTCCTGTGTTTTTGACGGCTCAGCCAGCCCAGTGCGCGCGCTGAGAGCTTCTCTTTGTGTGAGTGTGCGTGTGAGCGCCGCGGAGGCTCCCAGCATGCCGCTTCTCCGCTGAAGGAGCACGGTGGCTGCCACGGTGGAGGCGCGCGGCTCCCGGATCGCCGCACTCCTGCAGGGGCTGGGATGCGCGCCCGGCACGTCCCGCTTCCTCCCGGGCTTCGGGGCTGAGCAGGAGTCCGCGGCCCCGGGGCGCCGGCCGAGGAGGGCGCAGTCCACGCGCAGCAGGATGCCGGTGATGAGAGGACTGTTGGCGCCCCAGAACACCTTCCTGGACACCATCGCCACCCGCTTCGACGGCACACGTGAGTACCAGTGGAGCGCTCAGCGCCCAGCTGAACCGGCTTTGTTTGGGGCTGTTGGTGCGGGCGTCTCTAAGGGGCTTACTGAGGGAATTCTGAGGGTCTTTGTTTGGGCTATTCTAGTGGCTTTTGGTCATTTTTTTAGTGCTCCTTTGGGGTTGTTTTGGAGAGATTTGGGTTATTCTCAAGGTTTAACTGGCTTTTTTTTTTCTATGGACTTTTGTTTGGGTTATTTTAGTGGGCTTTGGGTTTTATTTCTAAAAAGCTTTTTTGAGCTATTTTAAATAGGCTTTTGTTTTTCTTTGGCTTTTGTTAAGATATTCTAACTGGCCTTTGCTGAATTGTTTTGAATGCTCTTTTGGGCTTGTTCTGGAGAGCTTTGGGTTATCCTCATGGGTTTGGGGGTTATTTTTAGTGGCCTTTAGGCTGTTTATATTTGGCTTTTGTTGAGTTATTTCTAATGAGCTTTTTCGTGTTATGCTAAATGGGCCTTTTGGGTTGCTGTGGAGAGTTTTGGGTCATCCTAATTGACTTTTTGTGTTATCTCTAATGAGCTTTGTTTTAATTTTTTTTTAAATGGGCTTTAGTTTGGGTTACTCTAGTGGCTCTCCCCCATAATTCTAATGGTCTTTTGTTGAGTTATTTTGAATGCTCTTTTGGGCTTTTTAGAGGGGTTTGGGTTGTTCTAATGGGATAATTGGGTTATTTCTTCTGGTGGGCTTTTGCTGAGATATCTCCACAATGGGTTTTGTTTAGTTATTTCGAATGGCTTTAATTGAGTTATTTGAATGCTGTGTTGGGGTCATTCTGGTGGGCTTCCTTTCTAATTCCAATGATGTTTTGTTGAGTTTTGTCTAATAGGCTTCTGTTGGGCTTAGAGAATATAGGTTGTATGGGTTACATCTAAAGGGGGCATGGCTGAGGTATCATAAGTGACTTCTTATTAATTATAATGGGGTCTGTTTAGGTTGTTTGGTTTATTCCAATCTACTTTGGGTTATTTAGCTTATGATGGGCTTTGTTTGGGTTGTTTTCCCCCAGTGGGCTTTATCTGAGTTACTCTGCTGGTGTGAAGTTGGATATTCTGATTGGTTGTTTTTTTTCCTGCTGGGTTGTTTCCACTGTCTTGAGGCATCTGGAAGCTTCTGTGACCATTTGTGTGACGAAATACAACAGTTCCTGTCGCAGTAAAACCCCCAGTGGTCAATCTACACCTGACAGTGTCCATAAAAAGGCCAGTTGGTCACAAACGAAGCCTGTAGGAGTTTGTTCAACACTGGAGATCCAACATTTTTTTTTTTTAATGGTTCTTCAAGGGTTCTTTAGTAAGTGGACTGGTTCTATTTACAACCATGATTTCTGTATAGAACCATTTCATGCTTAAAGGTTTCTTTGCATGGTGAAATGGTGAGAATGTGTTGTATATGGTTCTATATAACACCAAGAAGGGTTCTTCTGCTGTTATAAACTTGGCGTTGTAAGGAACCACAACAGGTTCTCCATCAATCCCACCATGTAACGAACCATTTAAACATGCAAATGGTCCTATGCAGAACTCATGGTTGTAAAAAGAACCACTCCCGTTACTAAAGAAGCCTTGAAGAACCATCGGGAGTGTATACAGTGCAGTGCTGTTGCGCAGAGAAACAGGCTGCATCTTCCTGTTTATCGACACTGGGGTGTGTTTTACCAAATGAGGGACCTGAGTTAATCCCGAGCTCTGTCTCGGGCTTCATCCTAATTCTAGTACTTTATTGGGCAATGTGCAGCACGAGCGGTCTTCCTCAACCCTTCCGCCTGTCAGACGCAGATGTGCAACACTGCGTCAAAAACAAGCGCAGTGTTTGAGGAAGCTGGAGAAGGCAGACTGGAGCCTGGCTGCGGGGAGAGCCGTGTCTCTGTCCGTGGTGCTGAACAGTCAGTGGGGTTTCGTGCTGGAGCGGCTCAATGTGGATGAAGGAAGCTGATATAATGAAGCAGCTACCGCAGCTTATTGTCTGAGGCAGCGCTCGCGCTCTTTGTTCACTGTTCCTCACTCTCAGATGCTGTTTTTTTTTGTCCTTTTCTCTTTTTCACACCATCTTTCTCGTTCTTTCTCTCTCTTCCTTGGCCGACCTGCAGAAAAACAAAGGGAAATCTCACATGTTGAGCGATGTGTGTTAGAACAGAAGGCCGCGTGCGTTTGTGGGCGCGCGCACTGTGTGAGTGCGTGTGGGCGGAGGGTGTCGCGGAGCGCGTGTCTCTCTCTCTCTCTCTCTCTCTGTCTCTCTCCAAACTGGAAGCGTCTTGGAAAGACACTGGGGGCGGGGCTTCGATTGTAACTCCGCCCCTTTACCTTTTCCTTCAATTTAATGCAAAGTTCCCCTCGAACCGGGGCGGAGCTACACTCGACGGGCGGGGCTTAACCTTCAGCCTTCAGTTTGCTATTAGTATATTCTGTTTTAACAGCGCTTGGTGACTCATGGCTCTCAGCCAATCAGATGTGGTGTTTTTACTAAAGGGAAATATCACCGATTTTCCTGCATAAATCAGTGGTTGAGGTGTAAACAGAGTCATTCAGAGTGGTTTGATGTGAAGTGGTTCATTGTCCTTACAGTGGTGGTGGTAGGAACCAGGCGTCACCATGACTACAACACAAACACAGACATTTTATTTACTATCCAAAACCACCAGTGAGCCTACCTTTCTGCCATGAATGAAGTGTAAATATATGATTTATGCTGAGATCTTATCACAAAATTTGTCTGATCATAAATAATAATAACTTTGTCAGACATTAAACTCTTAAGATGTCTGGTTCCTATCACCACCACTGTGAACAATTCTGACTCTGTACGTTTCTCTAGAACAGAGCGTTTCACACCAAACCCCTCTGAATGAGTCTGTTAAAATTTGGTATAATTAAATTTTAACCCTTTAATTATGCGGACATTTTGAAAAATTGGTGGAATTTCCCTTTAATATAGATAGAATGTAAATAATAATTTTCAATGATTGTATTCTGTGATACAGAGAGGTGGTATTGGGAAATCTATCTATCTGTCTATCTATCTATCTATCTATGTATCTATCCAAAGAGTAGGTTGACATATATATATATATATATATATATATATATATATATATATATATATATATATATATATATATACACATCGGTTGTTATAGTAAGGGCTGGAATTGAGGATGAGCCAAACATTTGGCCTGAAACTCCAGTGTGCTTCTAGGGTATTTGGCTCGGCCTGCTCTCCCTCAGTTCCTGAAAGGGGGCACTCTTCATCTCAGTGTGCGACTGCTAAGAAGAGTCGAGACCTCATTGTGCTTCCAGTGACTAATCTTATCAGCAACAAACACGCGGATTAGAAGGGAAGCCATGCTGACTTGTTGTAGAAAGAAAGGTTGAGATAAGAACTTCAGCGAGTAAGAGGCATGAAAATATCTTTTCTGCACTGCAGTACACCATTTTACTCAGCTCTTCTATGCAAGGACCTGCAAGTTTTCGTCCCTGATGGGTCTCCGCTACTTCCACCCACACGTTCGCACACTGTACACACAGGTTCTTCTACCCAACAGCTATCTATCTCTGTCAAGAATAGATCATATAACATCAAAACCCTTGTTGCTGCCGACTATCGATTGCGTCTGACTCCTGCTGGCAAAAAATAGAAGCTAGGATAGACTGAAAGAGTAATAGAGAGGGTGAGAGTGAAAGCCCTGAACACCTGGATCACTGCCATTGGGGTCCAACAGTACAGGTCTTTACAAGAGTTCTTCTTCAGGAGTGACAGAGAAACGCTAAGCTGTCTTATCGCTCAGGCGTTTGTTCACACGGATTGTGCTAAATTCAGAAATCAGATACAAGCAGTGGGGAACCCTCATGACCTTCTGGGCCATCTTCTTCTTCTTTGTCCATTTTATCAGCTCTACTGACCATATAGGAGCACTTTGTAGTTCTACAGTTACAGACTGTAGTCCATCTGTTTCTCTGCATACCTTATTACCCTGTTCTTCAGTGATCAGGACCCCCACAGGACCCCCACAGAGCAGGTACTATTTGGGTGGTGGGTCATTCTCAGCACTGCAGTAACACTGATGTGGTGGTGGTGTGTTAGTGTGTGTTGCGCTGGTCTGAGTGGATCAGACACAGCAGTGCTGCTGGAGTTTTTAAACACCTCAGTGTCACTGCTGGACTGAGAATAGTCCACCAACCAAAAATATCCAGCCGTACTAGGAATTATCGATGGATAATGAGGGTATAGACCACCCCACTGGGTGAGACATAACCTGTGAATGCCGTAAGTTACGTTTGCAGTCACAAAGTGCATGCACAGTCGTGTGCAAAAGTTTGTGCCCCCCAGTCAAACCGTGCTTTGTTGATTTTCTGAGTGAATATAAGTCGACACATCCTCTACAGAAAACGTCTGCGCCTGAATTTCTGTTTATTTGTTGAATTTAACATACTGGAAAAAAAAAAAACATAAATGTGAAAAATTTTAAATTTTATGTTTTTTTTTTCAAATGTGTTTAACAAGATGTGCTCAGAAAATCAACAAAACTGTCACACTTCCAGGTTCTCCTTCCTTGCCTAGCATGCTCCAGGACTCCATTTCCCATAATTCTGGTCCCTATGATGTCACCGATTCCTCCAATCACGTGCAACTGCCTCATCCTCAGTCACCTGAGTTTTAATGCGATACACCTGTGTCTGTCTCAGACTTGAAATAGTCTTTGGTTTGCTCTCCTCATTGCGAGGTATTGCCATTTCCCTGGTTTACTGAGCGTTGTTATTCTGATCTTTTGACTTGTGTTTTGAACCCTTTGCCTGTTTTGTGGATTTCGCTTTTTGTATTTGCCCTTCTGATCTGGTTGCCTGTATGTTTTTGTCTTTTCTGGTTTTTGACTCTTGCCTGGTTTTTGGATCTTGATTTTGGATTTGCCCTGAAACTGCCTTTCCGTCTTCACCTCTCTCATTAAACAGCCTTTTGTTTTTAAGATCCGCGAGC